CAACTGGGTAGACACGCAGACAAATGGGCAGACACACAGACAACTGGGTAGACACGCAGACAACTGGGTAGACACAGACAACTGGGTAGACACAGACAACTGGGTAGACACACAGACAACTGACACAGACAACTGGATAGACACAGACAACTGGGTAGACAGACAACTGGGTAGACACACAGACAACTGACACAGACAACTGGGTAGACACACAGACAACTGGGCAGACACACAGACAACTGGGTAGACACACAGACAACTGGGTAGACACGCAGACAAATGGGCAGACACAGACAACTGGGTAGACACACAGACAACTGGATAGACAGACAACTGGGTAGACACAAACTGGGTAGACACACAGACAACTGGGCAGACACACAGACAACTGGGTAGACACACAGACAACTGGGTAGACACAGACAAATGGGCAGACACACAGACAACGAGGCAGACACACAGACAACGAGGTACACAGACAACTGGTTAGACACACAGACAACTGGGTAGACAGACGAAGAGGTAGACACACAGACAACGAGGCAGACACACAGACAACGAGGTACACAGACAACGAGGCAGACACACAGACAACTGGGTAGACACACAGACAACGAGGTACACAGACAACGAGGTACACAGACAACGAGGCAGACACACAGACAACGAGGTACACAGACAACGAGGTACACAGACAACGAGGCAGACACAGACAACGAGGTACACAGACAACTGGTTAGACACACAGACAACTGGGTAGACAGACGAAGAGGTAGACACACAGACAACGAGGCAGACACACAGACAACGAGGTACACAGACAACGAGGCAGACACAGACAACGAGGTACACAGACAACGAGGTACACAGACAACGAGGCAGACACAGACAACGAGGTACACAGACAACTGGTTAGACACACAGACAACTGGGTAGACAGACGAAGAGGTAGACACACAGACAACGAGGCAGACACACAGACAACGAGGTACACAGACAACGAGGCAGACACACAGACAACTGGGTAGACACACAGACAACGAGGTACACAGACAACGAGGTACACAGACAACGAGGCAGACACACAGACAACGAGGTACACAGACAACGAGGTACACAGACAACGAGGCAGACACAGACAACGAGGTACACAGACAACGAGGTAGACAGACAGACAACGAGGTACACAGACAACGAGGCAGACACACAGACAACGAGGTACACAGACAACGAGGCAGACACGGGCCTCACACCCGCCTCGCAGGCCTCTAGTCCGGCTCCGCGCCGTCTTTCGTCCCCTACTTTGGGAGCGTCGCTTGGCACGCGACCATCATCACCGCGACGCTACCAGCGGACATCTGTGAGAATAAAATAAAAACTTCACAGCTCATCGGATTCCTCCAGGATGAATAAAGATTCTGATTCTTATAACCTGCAGCGGGCTTCCGGCGTGCGTGTGAGTGCCGTCACGCCGGCAGGGTGGAGACGATGAAAACAAAGTCACAGAGAGTGCTCGGCTGCACACTTTCCACGGTAACCAGTGATGTCGTGAACAGCGACTCTGGCCGGCCGGGGAAAACAGAATATTTCTACGGGTGTTTATTGATTTCATACATTTTCTGATTAAGGTGAAACGTGTCGCTGCTGCTATTCAATCAACCGTCCCTCCTTTTGGCTTAATTTTTTCCGTGACAGCACTTCACCGCTGGATAAATGCATCCCCCCCCCCATGCTCTGCTCATCACGGGGGGGAGGGTCTGTTTGACCATGCGGCCTGTTCTCCTGTAACGCTGCGTGTTTTCCTGATGCGATTTGGGTATAATGCTATGAATGTGTGAGGGAACACATTTTTTATAACGCAGATGTAAATTGGATATAACGCGATCAAGCGAACGGAACTACGTCGCGCGAGTAGGAATCGGCGGTCGGCTGCCTCGGCGTAGCATCGCACGCGCCAGTGGGATGCTGCTGGATCCTCTAGATGCTACCCACGCTCCTCGGTCGTTGTTTGGCCTGCGTACGCATCTCACCCCCTATATATGATTTATTATAACGCGATTATTCCATAGCGCGGTGTTCTTCAGAAACGCAACTACCACCGCGTTATCAGACAGCAGACTCCTTCACAACGGTGGTCTGTGCAGGGTTAGTGAATGGCGTGGGTGGACCGGGGTCACAGGGCCGCTTCGGACATCAGTGATGTCGACTGGATATCTGAACCTTATGGCGAGACCCCGGGGTCCCAAATAAACGGAAGTCAAAATCGTATTTCATTAAATATTGACTTAAAGCTTTCGTGACTGCAGGAATTAATATTCCGGTATGAGAATGAAGTGGGCGGGGTAGAAGTGCCCCGGGGCCAGCACAAGCGGAGGTGGTGATGTTAATGTGAAATCGGAGGTGGTGATGTTAATGTGAAATCGGAGAATCGAGAGAAGGGTAGACGCATGAGCCGTGGAGAAATTAACAACTTGTGGTAGGCCCAATGCAGGGGCGACATCGCAGGAACTGGAATTGCTTGTCCCATCTTTAGTAAAATAAAACTAACATCGGAAGGTGACAAGATGGAAACATCACAGCTAGTTATGACTGGAACTGGTTGATGACGTCTTTCCAGTGATTGCTGAATTTGTACCCATCCTCTCGGTTGACCTTGTGTCTGTGTCTGTATATATGTGGATGGCTTCATGAACGAATCTTTGTCGATAGCCAGTGGGCTTGCAAAGTACCTCCGTCTTAGAGAAATCAATTTCGTGCGAGCCAACTGCATTAAAACAATGACCAGCCACGGCTGAGGTGTTGATCCTGCCGTGTTTCAGATCTTCCTTATGCTCACGAACACGGTCCGATACATGTCGCTTAGTTTCCCCAATGTAACTACTGCCGCAGACACAGCTTAGACCTCCTTTGGCACTACCAAAATCAAATAAAATATACTATGGTACTGATAAAGGAGGTCTAATGATGTAGATGCTTACCCCGAGCCCTCATTACTTTGATAGTGCATTGTCTTTGTGCTGTACGCCTTTTGGCGGGAAAAAACCTATTATTAGACACAGCTTGTTTTGTAGATGCCGAGGTATTGCATGTCAGGGATCTTATCTTTCACAGATGGGATCAGATCACGAATTTTACGCACTGTGTTAAGTCGAACCTGTATTTGTGTTTGCTCATGATTTTGAAAATCTTTTTGGTGACTCTTGCTATGTATGACAAGGTGATGGTTTTGATTGGGTCCTCAGATGGCTCCTTCCCAACAGTTGGGGTGATCGCTTTACGGATTGTGTAGTCCGAATATCCATTCGTCTTAGCTGGCCCCAGGACGCTTGTGCCCCGCTTGTGCCCCGCCCACTTGGTTCTGATACCAGGCCGCTTGGGCCCCGCCCACTTGGTTCTGATACCGTGACGCTTGTGCCCCGCCCACTTGGTTCTGATACCAGGGCGCTTGGGCCCCGCCCACTTGGTTCTGATACCAGGGTGCTTGGGCCACGCCCACTTGGTTCTGATACCAGGACGCTTGTGCCCCGCCCACTTGGTTCTGATACCAGGGCACTTGGGCCCCGCCCACTTGGTTCTGATACCAGGACGCTTGGGCCCCGCCCATTTTAAACCTTTAAAACCGCTTTCCTTTAGTGGCTTCCCCCCTTGTTTCCACCAGATGACGGTCGCTCGTGTTGCGATCGAAACGTCGTAGTTTCTTGTTTATTTAATTATTTTTTGAACCTATCTACGTGACTTTACCGAAAGACCCAAAGAATACGTCATTCAGAGATTTTTTTTTGGCTTATGGGACCCCAGGGTCCTGCCATAAGGTTAATCTGTGAAAAAGAGCTTCACAGCTCATAGGAGTCCTCCAGTATAAATATTCTGATTATCACTCGCCACTGATGTTAGCCGTGGCTGCGAGTCGAACCGAGGTCCGCCGGGTTCACATAACAGGCAGCCGCGTGTTACCGCTGCGTGCCACCTCTCCACCGATCATCCTGCTGGGGGTCAATAAAGCGGGAACCGCTTTGTAAAGAATCCGGAGTGGTTCGCTGGACGCAGTGTAACGACGCGCTGATTGTGATCGGTTGAAGTTGCATCTCGTTTGCTCGTAACGTGAGCGTCCGCCTGTCAGCGTGACAGGAGCTTCGCCCCCCTCTGACGCTCCGTTGAGAAGGAAACCAGTTTGAGTGTGAACAGGAGAAGCCAACACGGCCGTGGTTATTGCCGCCCACAACGTTCGTGTAATTCCCTTACCTACAGTGCCTCTTAAGCCTTTCCCATTCCCATGACGTACGTGACGTACGTGACATACGTGTACATCATCAGTTTTTCTTCCGATCAATTTTCCTTCCGATTTTGTTCCGATGACGTATGTCGGAACGGAATGTCATCGGAACTAAAATAAAATAACTTTATCAGAACGTCTTCAGGTAAAAAGACGTACCGAGGCTCCCACAAAGCCATGTGGGAGGGCGTGTGGCACAGTTTACCGCCAGCTGTCACAGAGTGTGGCGGTCGTGTCGATACGGTGCTCCTCGGTGAATACAACGTCTTTAAAAACCACGACACTACTACGCCTTTCTAAATTCCATTAATGGTTGTTGTGGTGGTGGCGGCGGTGGTGGTGATGGTAGTTGTTTGTGGTGGTGGTTGTGATGGTGGTGGTTGTTGTGGTCTCGGTAGTGGTTGTTGTGGTGGTTTTTATGGTGGTTGTTGTGGTAGCGGAGGTGGTTGTGGCGGTGGTGGTTGTTGTGGTGATGGTGAGGGTGGTGGCGGTGGTGGTTGTTGTGGTGACGATGGTGGTGGTGGCTGTTGTGGTTGTTATGGTCGTTGTTGTGTTGGTGGTGGCGGCAGTGGTGGTGGTGGCTTTGGTGTGGCGGTGGTTGTCGTGGTGGTTGTTGTGGTGGTGGCGGCGGTGGTGATGGTAGTTGTTTGTGGTGGTGGTTGTGATGGTGGTGGTTGTTGTGGTGGTGGTTGTGGTAGCGGTGGTGGTTGTTGTGGTGGTGGTGTACCTGCAGCAGGTTGTGGGTTTCATCCTCCAGCTGCCGCACCCTCGCCTCCAGATGCTGGATGTACATTGCTGGGTCATCTACGGCGGGACACAGACGCACAAACATGAGTCATCATCATAACAACAACAACTTTAACTTCGTGAATTTGGTAGTCACACCGTTCTTATCGCACACGACTTTGTTGTAAATCACTGATATAGATGGTGGTGATGGTAGAGATGGCGTTGGTAACTTTTGTAACAATGATGATGATAATGATAGTCAAGGATCATCAAGATCAGCGTCAGTATCAATGCGAGGAACAGCGTTTGTGCTAAGTTGCTGGGGTACATACATATGTGCATTGAACTTCTTTCGCACCGTATGTAGCCAACCGTGCTAATCGGAGGGACGATATTGTCAATGATGCACTGCTGCAATAGGGTCAGCCCAGGCCGTGTGGGTGGGGGGAGCTCGCTCGACCAGGCTGCATCACAGTGGGCGGCGGGAGCTGGCGAAACGAGTGTCAGTGCCATTGTCCCTCGATTCACGAACGTTCGGTTCACGAAACATCTGCGTTCAACGCAATCGACAAAATGACGGACACATGATTTTGATAAAGGAAACCTCGTTTGATGATCTAACGGCACGAGTGGGGAAAGCGAGCGCCAGTAAAATGTCAGCGGTGCGCAAAGAAGCGAAACCCAATGGGGAGGAGGCACCATGGCCAGCAATCGGTAGAACGCACGGCACAGCCCAAGCTACAACCAAGCCACAGCCAATCCGCAAACCAAGCCACAACCAAACAACAACCAAGCCACAAACAAACCACAACTAAACCACAACAAAAGCCGCAACCAAGCCACAACCAAACCACAACCAAAAAACAACCAAACCACAACCAAACCACAACCAAGCCACAACCAAGCCACAACCAAACCACAACTAAACCACAACAAAAGCCGCAACCAAGCCACAACCAAACCACAACCAAACCTTGCCGAAAACCCAGTGAAGAGCCACCAATAATTAAACGCACAACCACACCGGCTCTGAGATGATCGGCTCAAGGCCTCTCACACGCTAAGGAGGTGCGAGAGTGATTAGAGCCCAGTGATGGAGAGGAGGAGGAGGAGGAGGGAGATGGAGGGAGACTCCACATACAGACAGCATTGGTGGGGTCTGTGTCAGGGTTAGTGTTGGGTCTATGTCAGGGTTATTGTCAGGGTTAGTGTTGGGTCTATGTCAGGGTTATTGTCAGGGTTAGTGTTGGGTCTGTGTCAGGGTTATTGTCAGGGTTAGTGTTGGGTCTGTGTCAGGGTTATTGTCAGGGTTAGTGTTGGGTCTATGTCAGGGTTAGTGTTGGGTCTGTGTCAGGGTTATTGTCAGGGTTAGAGTTGGGTCTATGTCAGGGTTAGTGTTGGGTCTATGTCAGGGTTATTGTCAGGGTTAGTGTTGGGTCTATGTCAGGGTTATTGTCAGGGTTAGTGTTGGGTCTATGTCAGGGTTAGTGTTGGGTCTGTGTCAGGGTTATTGTCAGGGTTAGAGTTGGGTCTGTGTCAGGGTTATTGTCAGGGTTAGTGTTGGGTCTTTGTCAGGGTTATTGTCAGGGTTAGTGTTGGGTCTATGTCAGGGTTATTGTCAGGGTTAGTGTTGGGTCTATGTCAGGGTTATTGTCAGGGTTAGTGTTGGGTCTGTGTCGGGGTTATTGTCAGGGTTAGTGTTGGGTCTATGTCAGGGTTATTGTCAGGGTTAGTGTTGGGTCTATGTCAGGGTTAGTGTTGGGTCTGTGTCAGGGTTATTGTCAGGGTTAGAGTTGGGTCTGTGTCAGGGTTATTGTCAGGGTTAGTGTTGGGTCTTTGTCAGGGTTATTGTCAGGGTTAGTGTTGGGTCTATGTCAGGGTTATTGTCAGGGTTAGTGTTGGGTCTATGTCAGGGTTATTGTCAGGGTTAGTGTTGGGTCTGTGTCGGGGTTATTGTCAGGGTTAGTGTTGGGTCTATGTCAGGGTTATTGTCAGGGTTTGTGTTGGGTCTGTGTCGGGGTTATTGTCAGGGTTAGTGTTGGGTCTGTGTCAGGGTTATTGTCAGGGTTAGTGTTGGGTCTGTGTCAGGGTTATTGTCAGGGTTAGTGTTGGGTCTATGTCAGGGTTATTGTCAGGGTTTTGTCTCCCTGCCACGATACACCACGTGCTGCCAGAGAGCACTTAAGAAGTTGCACTCAAAACCACGTGCCGCCCCGGGTCAACTGAGCTAAAGACGAGACTGAGAGGAGCACTTATATACATGTTATTTTGCAGCTAAACTGCCTGTGAGCAATGGCATTACAGCGCAGGCTTAGCCATGTAGCGGAATGCCTTTCCCTCGTCTGGCTCACCGACTTTGTCCAAAAGCGTGGCAATATACTTTTTCTTTTTCCTACAAAACAACTCGACTTGTCGCTCACGCTCAAATACGTCAGCAAAATAAGCGTACCCCGCCTTTGTGTTGTAGAGTTGCATGCAGAAGGGGTTGCTTCGGGACTTGGCAGGCAGCTGACGAGCCTCTAAGTTGTCTGACAGAGACTACGCATGGAATGGAGAGCGTGTGACTAATTGAACTGCGTGTCGAATCACGACTCTGTTTAATCAGGAGCCCCGTGTATAATTGCCACCCTGTGTCTAATCGACGAAGTATGTTGCATCGAGACCCTATGACTAATCGCGAACCCGTGTCTAACCGAGGCCCAGTGTCTAACCGAGGCCCAGCGTCTAGCCGAGGCCTCGCATCTAACCGAGGCCCCGTGTCTAACCGAAGCCCCGCGTCTCACCGAGGCCTCGCGTCTAACCGAGGCCTCGCGTCTAACCGAAGCCCCGTGTCTAACCGAGGCCCCGCGTCTCACCGAGGACTCGCGTCTAACCGAGGCCCAGCGTCTAACCGAGGCTCCGCGTCTAACCGAGGCCCCGCGTCTAACCGAGGCCCCGCGTCTCACCGAGGCCCCGCGTCTAACCGAGGCCCCGCATCTAAGCGAGGTCTCGCGTCTAACCGAGGCCCCGTCTGGTGCCAGTCACGAGTCTACACGCATGCGTGAATTAAGTCTGCAGCGACAGAATGGCTGTAATATTACGACTGCATTCTGCTGGTTTACTGGGGAAAGCCTCGATGAGCCTCAAGGCGCGCTGTTCACGAGGGTCCTGCCAACATTTTCGCAGTAGAGGCGGGGGGACAATGTTACCGATTTAAGACTGGAACAGGAGGATTTCTCCACAACTCTGGCTGTCGCCTGATGAGGCTGGTTGTAATTACCGGCAAAACGGCACGGTACTTGAATTGTAAATATTGTGTGTTACTCTTCAACACACCGGTGTGCTGAACTAGTAACTAATTGTTTTGCTTACGTGACAAACCTTACTAATTGGCTGTATCGGGTGGTGGCGATCAAACCCAAAAACCTCTATTATGGATAATATTGGTCACGAAAGCCTACTATTACTATGTGTTAAACTAATCGCAATTTATAATTATTTCAGCACTGGGATGGTTGGCCCAGACAATTTTACGTTGTACGTCTGTTGTTATTGTTGTTTTTGTTTCATCTGTATGTGCAGTGTAGGCAACAAGCGTGTTATGTCATCTCCCGGCGTGTGCCATTCTTCCGCAAGCTGCAGATATAATTATTGTTTTTTTCTTTGCGTCACGCGCAAAATATCTCGTTGTGTAACGGCGCACGAGCCGACACCACTCGTCACCGCACAAGCCCACATCACGCGTCACCGCACGAGCCCACACCACTCGTCACCGCACGAGCCCACACCACGCGTCACCGCACGAGTTCACATCACTCGTCACCGCATGAACCCGCACCATTCGTGACCGTACGAGCCCACACCACGCGTCACCGAAATTGATGTCGGCTGCAAAACAAACGGCGCCTGGCGAGGCTGAACGATGGCGACCACTCGCTATTTTACATTTCACTGGAAACGCTTTTTTGCAAACGATGAAAAATATACCGATTACAGGCAAGCCAACGTACGCGGCGGCAACCGGGCATTCATCCGGCCAGCACGTTATGATTGTGGACGACGTTATAACATAAACTGGTATGCCTCTTCTCCACGCTTTCCATAACAGGTTGCCAGTGGTTATCCATTTGCTTTGTCGCGTAAGCGCGTCTGTCCGTAAATGTAGAGTCACAATAACACCCAGTCATGACGATCTCCCCGCCCCTGAATTGTGATGACTCATTGCATCACAGAGGTGGTTGCCGGGGAGGGAGGTGAATTAGGGGCGCTGAGGTGGCGAGATGTTAACCACCTCGCCTGGTATACAGGAGTTCGTGGGTTCGATCCGAACCCTGACGCCTGCTGTATCTGCTTGTCTCTCTCTCTCTCTTCTTGTGATCACGTGGATGTCATTTTACATGCCCAACACTCAGCCCATCATCCCTCCGTGAGCGATAAAACGAGTACCACTACGTGTAGAAATCAACGTAGGTTGTTCTACACATGGGCTCGCTCCCACCATAGGATTGTGGAATTCCCAGCACTAGTTTTGGAAATGCTCATTCGAGAAAAAAATCGCTTCTGACTTCAACTCGCACACACAGAGAAACAGACCCCGCACGCAGACAGCCACGCGCGTGTGCGTGGCTGTGTGCGTGCGTGAGGCAAAGAGGAGCCGACAGACAGAGCAGTTGGACCTCAAGGTCGCTCAATGTAAATGCGTGCGTTTGTCCCTAACGAAGGCTGACAGCCAATCATTACCCCGCAGTGCCCACCCCTCGCGACGACGAGACAGGCCGTGGGTCAGCGCGCTTCGCGCGTTCACCAGATCCCGAACGAGCGCACAATACGCCTCACCCCTTCCCACGTTCGTCTCTCCACAAACATTAAAGTACTTTTTTTCACACAAAGACAAACACACACGAACGTGCACAACAAAGACAAAGATCCTCCCCTCCGTATAGCCTTAACAGACTGCAGGGGCAAGTGCTGTTGAAGAGCACCTATGAAGGCCGGCACGGCACACGAGGGGGTGGGTGGCCAACGCCACGCCTGGCCCCCTTTGTCTCCTGAGTGGCGATGTTTACACACCGCACCAGGTACTCATTTGAGGCCGA